GATTTGTTTGGCTTGGTCAAAATCTTTGGTCTTACGGAGAATATAAATTACTAAATATGCCTCACATTAATAATCAAGATATCTCATTTGGTCAGTTTGTCATAAAAAATAGCCTGATATCGCATAAAGTAAATGCTAACCTTTAAAAGATCGTAAGTCCCAAGAGAAGATCCTTCTTTCATCAAAGAGGAATCGGCAAACTTTTCTCCATCTAAACATTCAAGAGCATGGGGCGGTATGAGCTGATGTTCCACAAAACTCAAGACCACTCGCGTCGAATCAATGGCAATATGAAGGTAATGGAGCAATGTAGCGTCGCTAGGATTAACGCCGATCGAACCGCACGATTGGTGAATATCTTCCCCAATGCAAGTGCAATCATTAGTTTGATCTAAAACTTGGTTAGAAGCTTTTTCTTCGCCAGGAAGACAAAGGAAATATCCCAAAGCGGCTAGTGCTTCACTCTAGGATAAGGAAGAAGAGAAGGAAATGAAGCAGTATCTCACGTAAACACCTTATGGAATGGTAGAACATATTAGGTAGAAAAAGCTTTATATTTGGCCAAATTCGCGATCTTAATGAGACAACTTATAATTTGATTAGCTACTTCAAACTTGCTCTAAACGCTTACACAAATAAACTAGTGTACTATCCTCTGATGTTGAATCATGTTTGGGCTTAATCTATTGTCTATTGGGTATATGTAATGCTCATGCCTTAATCCTGGATAAACTTGAGACTAATCCAGCCTCCTCTTGTTCGGTGGCTCTTCATGCACTCCCTTTCCTTAAGCCTATCCAACAGTCACAAATAACTACTAAATTTTCTAAGCTCGTTCCTCCTAGTCAGGACGTTGGCTGTTTTATTAATTTCTATAGACTCCCTAATCATACGCTTTGATGTGAAGTTCCCGTAACCTGCAAAAATTTGCACTTTAGACCAGTCTATTAAGTGTCCTGTATTAGCTATGTGTTCAGCGAGCTCACATTTGTGCACCCATAGGCCTTTACAAGCGATTTTGCGTTCGCATAGTCTCCTATGGATGGGTCGGTAGGTCTCCTCTATAGACACCCTGCTACATGAGCACAAAACCTTGTAGCAGCCTAATATAGGAAAGTCTTAAAATTATCTAAACCAAGGAACTACTGAAGAAAGTGTCAATTTGTCTTAATAAATTGTTCTGATGTTCCACTTCCTCAATAGATCAACCAACTTCTTTGCAAGCTGACAGGAAGACAAATGCAAGAAACAATTAAAATGTTTCGATTACCTTTCCCACCCCAGATAGTAAATACCCCTTATCTTGTTTCTGTCAATTGATGTGTAATTATCTACTAATCCTTATAGGTAATTGTTCTGAAACAGTATATGCCTCAATCTACCAATCTCCTGGTCCCTGTGGTTTACATCTGCTAGACGAAGACTCATTATTATCATACACTTCATAATTCCCATTTCGACTATATATGCGTTGGAGAAAAAATTAATGAGAAAACCCGCTTGTGTGAGTTTCTTATATACGTCTCTACCTAGCTTACCACCTTGGCCCCTTAATAAATATAAAAAAGGCAATTTATTTTCCTTTTATAACTCCATGGTAAACTTAGTATTTATATCTATTCCAGTTATTAGCTAAAGGAATTCCCCCAAGCTATCTTTGCCGTATTGCCAAACAGCAAAGTAATCGTCCATATAACGAACTAAAAACTTGGGTTCTAGGCGTGTCTCTTGAAGCACTCGAATTTCTAATTGAATCATGTAGTTATTAGCTAAAATAGGAGCTAAACAATATCGCAAATCTAAGCCCTGTGCTTGCTCATGCAACTTACCATTGAAGGTACAACATGTACAATACATTGCCAAATTGACTAATCTAGTGATTAAATCATTGCCAAACTTTTTACTTATTATAATTTCAGGGTGTTGATCTATAGTTAATTCTAAAGCCTACAATGCCGCGTTTATCA